AGCAGTGGTTCATTGCCTCATTGATTTCGAACTCAAGTATTTTCATGTCAAGAATGATGAAAGTTCACTTTCTTTTTTTCTTTTTAAACTAATACCTTAACCCTTTATTATATCAGTGATTTTTAAACCCATTTATCCTTTCTTCTATTCCTTATAAATATGCATGACAGTTATAGTGTATAAGTAGATTGCTCTAAATGTATTAGGTTAATATGTGACATGTTTTTCTCACAAAGTGTTTCTTCTGCTAGTTTTGTCGAAATGCTGAAGTTCGAAAGGGGTGAAAAAAATTGTAGATATATTGGCTTTCGATCGCTACATCAGGTTGCCTAGTCTGCATATTTCACAGTAGTGATGGCTCATCAGGTGTTGTCCATCTGGTGAAATCCATATCGCTGTCTTGTGAATATCCGTGTGTTTGTAAACACTGCCTCCAATCACCAAGTCATTAAATGTGCAGAAGTCTGCAAACAGTTCTCCATTCTCATTCATTTCACCGAGTACTTCTCGACCGATGATAAATTCTCTTCCTGTGTTATCCGCTCCCAAATTGATATTCATGTCACTCCACCCATTAGAATTTTGATGTCGCCAACTGGAGTCTTGTCCAGTACTGATTACAGCTGTGTGTAGAATTCCTCCTTCTTCTCTTGACCTGCATTATTTTAGGTGTGTAGCGTAGCATTGTATGATTGTGACTTTCCTTCCTTTTGGTTTGAATCTTATCGTCATGATCCTGATCCTGAAGGAGATTGGTTCCCACTGCATGAGAACCTTCGATGCTGTTGGGGACATCATGATAGCCACTCCAAAACTCAGTGTGCTTGTGGTTATCGTCTGGATGTCAATACCGGAGTAGATTATTGACTCTCCAGTTGATAGTTTGGAGAGTCCACTTCCATTCCTTCTACTCTTTCAGATTCCTATCACTTCTATGCTATATCTTCTCACCTCTTTTGCAATCTGGGTAACCTTGCCAGTCAGCTTCAAATATTGTGCGGACTTTCCGTGTCCCTATGTTTACTTCTGCTTTCATCGAGGGAGAAAAGACACATCGGCCGACTGGTTTCCCGAAGGCTTTCTCCAATCGGTGTCATTTCGTCTTCTCCATTCCAGCGATGAATAAGTTTGTTTTTTTATATTTCCTCTGTGCTTTAAAGTTTTTCTTGGCGATTTTATTGATTTTCCGGGTTTGGGTCACTAGCCCCATGCTCAACCTCCACTGTTTTTCCGGCTTAGGACTGGCTAGTAAACTAGGCGAGGAGTCAGGTTAAAAAGACTTCAGAGAAGAGAGTGAAATGGCGACGTGCTACTGAATCCCTATGTTCCACTAAGAACCCAAGGGACAAATAACAATAATAAATAATTTGCCTAACATTCTGATCACGTTACCAGATCATAGTATCAATGTTGTTTCAGTTTATCCCTTTAATAGTAATATTTGAATTCTTCATTTCACCTTCAATCATCACCCCGTATCAATAATACAAGTCTACCGAACCATGACGGCTATCTCAGATAGTCAAAAAGGTAATCAGTATAACGCTGGTGCCGCCTCTCTAGTTCAAGTTTATTTGAATTTGAGTGATGAGAGGTCTTGACTAAGCAGCAGCCAGTATGACTAGGATCAAGCGATAGTAAGGCATCATTAATTCACATGGCAGTTAGGTGAAATCTCACTTGGTGATCGAAGTGAAATAAAAATCTGATTACCAGTTGAATCTCGCAGCTCAGATGGTAGAGTACTGGGCTGGTAATCCATGGCCTAAATTTTCATCTCACCTTCGATAATTATTCAGTATAAATATTAAATAGATGAGTTACTCACTAAGTATAAGTTTATCCATCCATCCATCCAGATCAACCAAGGACCAGGCATTACTGCGTAACGGTCCGAGTTGTCACAGTTCATATCATTACATCAAGTAAAAAGGCAGTGAGGCGCAAGATGAAGATAAGAAAATTCAATCAGAAGAAATATGAAGTACTGAAAGGACAGAAATCAAGAACGAGAAAGTGGTGAGATTCGGTATAGCGTCGTTAAGATGAGGATAATGTATGTTTACATCTGTGCCACTGACATGGGTTCTGAGGCTTGTGATCACCTAGAGTCAGTCTCCAACCACTGGTTCTTTTTGTCCCGCGGACCCCAACCACCTAGTCTGCATCACCCTACATGGCTGAAACCAACAGTCAGAGACTTCATACATTGATGCCATGTTTTAGTCTGGCCACCTCAGGCCTTTTACCAGCCTGAACCTACTTCGGCCAACATTGTGTGACGAGACAATCGACGACTAGGCATACGTCACACATGTCCCAACCATCTTAGTCGACGAAGGTTCATGAACGTGACAACTGATTTACTTCTACTCCCTAAAACTCTACACCTGACTTGTGGGTTACTCACGTTGTGACACCACGGAATATGGCCTATACTACGAAGGCAGCGGTGGTCAAACACCTGCACCCAGCCTTCTCATGTCTTCCACTTTCAATGGCCATGTTCCACAGCCATACAGCAGAACAGAGCGAACTGGTGTGCAGTACACGCGACCCTTAGTAGACAAACGGATATCACGGCGGTGCCATAGGTGGCGTAAATTGGCAAAAACCAACCGAGCCTTTTGTATTCGTGCAGAGATTTCACCAGCCACTGAGCCACCAATTCTGGGCTGATCCTATTTCCCAGGTAAGTGAAGTGGTCGACACACTCAATCACTTCACTTTCTATTGTTAGCCACGGCACCGCTTAAGACCAATCCTGGAGCAACAGTTGGCATTTGGGTGGTGAGAAACGCATCCCAAACATACTCAAATTCCCACTGAAAGTGTTCACAAGGCTGCATTTTGTCAGCGTCTTCACTTAACAAAACAATGTCATCTGCATATTCTAGGTCTAATGAAAATTCTCCTGTGATTAGGTCAACTTCTCTGTAATTAGGTGACGAGTGGGAGACCTCCATAAGAATATCTATGATAAAATTGAATGAGAATGGAGAGAGTGGGCATCGTTGACGGACACCACTCAATGAGCTTAGCTCCCTGGACACCTCGCCATAGGTTCTAACATGCCCACAAGTGTTCGAGTAGAGAGCTTTCAATAAGGTGAGCTGTCAATATCTCTCCGGTAGTGATTTAGTAGGTTGCCCTGACGAAATGGTGTGCATGGATTTTCTTATTGTCTGTTCCTCTCACTTTTCTGTTGTTTATTATTTTTCTTATTGATTGGGTCTATGTCTATACATCTGTTGATTCCTGAACGCCAAGCTCTTAGGAATTCTCTGATATTCTTTGTGTTTCCTCTCACTCTCCAAGATTTCTACATTGTCAAAATTGAATTTATGTCCATAGTTGTTATTCACGTACATTGAAATTGGTGTTCTTGTAGACGAAGGTGATAGGTGGCGACGACTTTATCTAATGTAGCGTTGACTACAGTTATTCCAGTTCATTTTGTAAATGATATTCGGTTTGTCTTGTTTGATTGTTGCTTCTTCTAGTCTGCATAGTTGGGTTTGAAGGGAATTTGTTGGTTTATGAGGTGCAGCTCATCAATTTCAAGTAGTCTCAGCAATCTTGTCATGATTTCTGATATATTCTTTATGTATGGTAGGGTGATGTGTTTGTTGATTTCTGTCGATGACTTTGTAGTTGATGATGTACGCGGAAAATTAGTTGCATACAGACTGTATTCAAAAGAGCGAGAACACATTGCAGTACAACAACTTCAAGGAGAAATGAAGAAAATTACGTCATGTTCATCCTAAACAAGAACGGCTACCCACGAAACTTTATCAGAAGATGCCTATCCGGTGAATCATCAACTACAATGTCATCGACAGAAATCAATAAATCCATCATCCTACCACACATAAAGAATATATCAAAAATCACGACAAGATTACTGAGACCACTTGGAATTGGTGTGGCTGGTTCATAAACCAACAAGTTACCTCCAAACCCTATTAAGCAGACCAAAGGACTCAACAATCAAAGAAGAGAAATCGAATATCATTTACAAGATAAACTGCAATAGCTGTAGTCAACACTACACATTGGATAAAGTGGTCGCCACCTTCACCTTCGTCCATATGAACACCAATTGGCTATTAAACATCACGACATTTCATCACTCATCGCTCAATGCACGTAGATAACAAGTATGGAGATGAATTCAATTTTTACATTGTAGAAATCTTGGGAAAAGAGAGGAAAGATAAAGAATATTACAGAATTCCTAGGAGCTCGGCATTCAGATCAGTCATTCGGGAATCAATAGATGTATAGACAGGCTGGAAAAAGGCACGAGGTGGCCAGACTAAAACATGGCACTAGTGTATGAAGTCTCTGACTGTTGGTTTGAGCCATGTGGGGCCATGCAGACTAGGTGGTTGGGATCCGCGGGACGAGAGGAATCAGTGGTTGGAGACTGACTCTAGGTGATATGGCTCAGAAGCGATGTCAGTGGTGCAGATGTATACACACATTATCCTCATCTTAACGACGCTATACTAAATTTCACCATTTTCTCATTCCTCTTTCCTTTCTTCTCATGCTTAATATTTCTTTTGACTGCATTGTCTTATCTTCATCCTTCACCTCACTACGTCTCTACTTGATTTACTGATATGAGGTGTGGCAACTCGGACCGTTACACAGTAATGCCTGGTCCTATATTGATATTGATTGGTTGATTGATTGACATAGACCCAATCCGTCAACCAATGAGTAAAATGATAAACGGCAGAAAGGTCAGAGTTCAAGCAGAGGAAACAACCAATCACAAACCAGTTGGGTATGCCATTGAATTGCTCATGAAGAGATAGTACAGCTCACTTCATACTACAGATGATGTTGTGTAGCAAGAAGATGAAAGCTTCATGACTACCCAACTCAGCTCAAAGAACAGAATACAATCAATATAAATTATTCTTTTTTTTTTATGGTTATTGTTTTTTGAAGTAATTCTGTTTATTATTTTTTTTCCTCATGTATAGCAGGTACAAAGGATTTTCAAATTATGGTAAAGTATTGAGAAATGCACGTGAACTTGGTGAAAATTTAGATAAACTCAAGTTAAAGTATACACCGGATCCATTCTATTTTGCTGGTTATGATTCACCATTCAACTTAATAAATCGTCGAAATGAAGTATGGTTTAAAGCTGATTGAATTGATGTATATAGATGTGTGGTGGTGATGGGGGGGGGATACACATGAAATTCTGGTTCGGCTTTCTTTTCGCTTACTTTATCTAAAGCTTCTCAGGGATATATATATAAGTTTATAGTTTTACATAATTTTGTTTTTCTATCCATTTTATTAGATTGAATACAATCGTGTTACTTTTTTTTTTTTTTCTAAAGAAAAGTTTTTATTGTCATTTCACTTCCTTTTTATTATTTCTCAGCGTAAAGTACATTACTATTATCTTCTATATTGTTGTAGCATATCATATTCATTGCATCATATGATTATTTTATAGTTGGGTTCACGTATAATATATAATCTCATCCATATATCTATCTGTCTACTTTGTGTACTCTTCTCAAGCACCTGAATTGTGTTCTCTGTGATCATTTGACTTGGTTGTTTTAAATTATGTGTAGTTATGCCTAGTCATTCTACTATTATTATTATTATTATTATTATTATTACCATTATTATCATTGTCATTAGTAGTAGTAGTAGTGCTTGCATTACTATTCTTGGTGTTTTATTAATGTAAAACTGAGATATGTGAATGAATTGAGAATGTGGATCTGGTTAATTCAATTGAGTAACTAGTCATGAATTTGCATAGATTGAAGCTTCGATTTTACTAATCTTGATTAGTAATCAACCTAATTAAGAAAAAAAGATATTCAATAAAGAGACTCTTTTTTCAAGGAATTTATTCTCAACCTGTACATTTGTATATACAGATATGAAAAATTATATCCCATGAGGTAAACTAAACACTGTATGATGATGATGACATAGGTATTTGTGATTATGATAATAGTGGAGGTATGAATGATAACCAAGTAGACTACGCAATATATGAAGTCGTTCGTAGAAGGTATATAACTGAGAAACGTGTGAAAAAATTAATAAAAGTGGTAAATTAATTAAGTATTATTACTATATATTATTTGTCCTTTGTGTTCCTAGTGGAATATAGGGCTTCAGTAACACGTCGTCATTTGTCTCTGTTCTCTGTAGTCTCCTCCACCTGGTTCCACAACTCCACAGAAGTTTTCATTTATTCTTCACACCATCTTCGCCTCGGACGCCCAACTCATCGTTTCCCATTTGGGTTCCACTCGACGGTCTGGCATGACGCATGATGTCCCTAAACGGTCTTCCCAGTCTATGTCCAATCCAATCCACCTCCACTTTCTTATTCTGCATATTTGTTGGGCGATAGGTTGCTGGTTGGTTGATTCGTTGTCAGGCAGCCAGAGTTCCTTGTTGTTTATTCTTTCTGACCTTCTCATCTGATCTTCAGTATCGAGTGAGCGTAGGCGACAGGTGTTGATGTGATGTATGTCTGGAGTTTGTTGGAAATGCTTTTCGTAAGGCACCAAGTCTGTGAACGACGACATAGAAGCCCTGGTTTACTTGGTTGACTTAGTGTTGAAAATCGGGATGTTGTTGACGCTTTATGCTGAGTGCAGTGCAGTAGTTCTCCACACTAAATGACAGGGTTAGTGGTAGTACTCACGCTCTAGAAGATATCACAGAGTGAATTTTATTATTATTTATCTTTTGGGTTCCTAGTGGAACATAAGGCTTCAGTAGCACGTCGTCATTTCACTCTCTTCTCTACAGTCTTTTCAACCTGACTACACCACTGCCAAGAAGCTTTCATTTCTTTCTCATACCATCTTCTTCATGTCAACCTTGCTTTGGACGCCTAACTCATTGTTTCCTATTTGAGTTCCACTCGAGGGCATAGTCTGGAGCATGATGTCTCTGAATAGTTTTCTCAGTGTATTCCCAATTTATCCATACTACTTTTTGATAATTGTGAGTAAATGTATAGTTTCATTCCATTGTTTATTTAAAAATAAGTTAATATAACTATGTAGAAATGAACAACGAATACTACTGACAAAAAATATGTCCTTAATTTATGTAAAATGCAGATAATTTGCTGGTTTGAACTTCTAAAATACAACTCAGTTTACTAATGAGTGAATAATAGAAATTACTTACTATACGCATTTATGAATTGTTTCACTTTAATAGAGAGATAGAAACAAAGCCAACTTAGAGTTTTGTATATAAGTGGATCACTTCAAATCGCTACAAATAATAGATGGATAGAAAAAGACTTATATCCAGCTAGATATAAGTGTATAAAAGGAGAAAGATTTTGAAAATGAAGGTTAGTAAAAAATATTTAAGGCTTTTAAGACGTTAAGGAGTGAATACATTTGCGATCGATTTTCCTTCATGTCATCAACCACTGATTTCTATCGTCTCTGAGACCTTATTCAGGTAGTCTACACTTCTTAATATGGCTCAAACCAACAGTCAGAGACTTCATGGACTAGTGTCATATATTTGTTTGACCACCCTAAACTCTTTTGCAGCCTCATCCTACTTCTCTTAGTATGGTGTGTCGAGGTAAGCGATGGCTTGGCATACGCAATACATGCCCATCCATCTCAATCGACTAAAGTTCATAACATTATAGCTGACTGAATGTATTACCAACCTCTACTTAACTCGATGTGCTCATCCATACCTTACCCAGCATGTAAGTACTGATAACGAAACACAGGTCAAAAAGACTGGTATTCAGGAATATGTTCGAAGCAGTAATCTATTTAAATAGAATGAATGTCATGGTGATTATTAGAGGAAAAATTCATTCAACTTATCTGACTAATATAGCTGAGCTGAGGACGCACGTGTTAACCAGCACAAACGAAGCGCAAAATGGCGTCGAAGTCCCCCCTTATGCGTTCTCGTTAAAACAAAACTTAAAATACCTTAACCATTCGGAAGCAAGGTATAAGTTTATTTAGTTAATTCAGTTTAATCTATTTATTTTGGTTTTATTTACATTTTGTTGCCTGGAAGGTGCGCTACAATTTCATTAGTCGGCTCACCTGTCTTCCCTAATACCCTTCTCCCTACCTCAACAATGCTTACAGGGTCATTTCATCAAGCATGAGTAATGCTATTAAGACACCTATGGTCAAAATTATGCAATCGCGTCATGTCTTCTAGATTCAATGACCATGTCTCACAGTCGTACAACTGGATGAAACGGACTGCAGCACAGCATACTCGTTTGATAGATAGTCGGATATCTCACCAGTTGGCGCCATAGATGACACAAGTTAGCAAATGTTAAACAGGTCTTCTCTACCCGAGCTGTGATTTAGTCACCAGCCAGCCGATTTGTGTTGATGCAACTTCTCCAATAAGTGAAGTGGCCGATGGATGTCACGACTTCAGAAACGCATGGCAAACATATTCAGATTTCTGCGCAACGCGTTCAGCAGATGTGTTGTTACTCAGCAAGACAAAATCGTTTGCATTCTCCAAATCAACCAGATGGCCACCAGAGTATAGATCAATCCCTTTCAACTCATATACCTACGGTTATTTCTATTGGTACATCTACGATGAAGTTAAATAGGAATGGTGACAGTAGGCATCGCTGACGGACACCACTAGTTGCTGTCAAATTTCATGGCAGCTCTCCATAACTTCTTACACGGAAGAGTGAGTTTAAGTAGAGAGCTTTCATAAGCATTATATACTTTCTCGGTGCTCTCTTCACAGACAGACGCTGTAACAGCATCTAACGATCGACAGAGTCGAATTCTACATTCCGGTCAAGAAATATGGCAACCAAGTGTCAGTCATCGGTGAGTATGGCTGAGTTCCAGAACCGGTCACAAGGTTAAAATCTGATCAGTGCCCTCTCGTTCCACTCTGTCAGAAACCTGCCTAGTCTTCTCGAACTTGATGTTCTCAAGCTCCAAATAAGTGTTGGATAACTATGGACCGTAGGATCTTGAATACAATATTAGTCAAACTAATTACCTTATGGTTGCCACAGAAGGATTTCTCTACCTTCTTATAGACTTGGATGATCAGTGAAGTAAACCAGTGTGATGGCACTACCTCTGATTTCAGTACACTACTTAGTACCTCCGTCACTTTAATTAGCAACTTCCTACCTTCATCCTCGGAGATCTTAAGCAACAAACTGTCAGGTCCTGCTGATTTTCATCGTTTCAGGTTCAATACAGCTGTCCCAACTTCGAGGACCAACATCTATGTCTCATTCGGCTTCAGGCTGAATGTTGAGCAAATGAAGCGTTGCTGAGGGTAATTGGACTGAGCTTCAAAGTTCTAGCCGCCTGTCCTGAGAGGTTATCAGCGTTCCACCCACTATCATTTTCTTACCGGTATGCTTCATAACCCTAAATAGTTGCCAAGTGTTACTCGACCCTGATGCCTTCTCCATCTCTCTCGCTTTTGCCATCCACCTCTGCTCGCTATCATTGCAAAGACTCTAGGTCAATTTACTTTGAACAGCTTTCCCTCGTCATTGTTGTGAGAACCAGCTACAATCATTCTTCTTGCATCAACCATTTCGGATGACACTGGAAGTCGACTGAGATTTGGATGTTGATTACCAGCTGTCTTTACCACTATTTTTACAGTAAACTAAATATCTCGCTGGACTTCAACAAGGAGAGGAATGCTGCCACGATCAGATAAAATGCTTAGTTATCTCCTTCTTAAATACACACTTGACATTTTCATCTGCTAATCCACCACACATGGGCTTAATTGCCACCTGTTTCCTACTAATATTGAGGCGCAGATATCCTTGAGACTGTGCCAACGCGGCAATCTTCCACGGATCCTCTCCAGTTATGGCTTATAACAATATGATCGACTAATCTCAATCGTTGGTTGAATTTCAGCGGACGCCATGTGAAACAGTATCTCTTCTTATGTCTAAAGTTAGTGCTGACCAGAAACAAGGGTTGGTAGAACAAAATTGCAAGAGACGATAACCACTGCCCGTTCGTTGGCAAGTGATTCCGTAAATAATCAGATGTCCTGATTGGTTCAGCCTCGGTACTTGAACGTTACCTGCCATTATAACTGCTATATACCCCCTAATTATGCATAGCTTTTACCTGCTGTTCAACCCATGACCTTAAAAATAACCTAAATAGCTGTTTTCACACCATTACTAGTTTTCCTTCCCTCTTCTCTCAAGGCTGAACTCTCATTGGTTGTCAATTGTCTTAACCTATATTTGGGTTTAGTTGTTGTCAAGGTCATTCAGAAATGTGCATATTCAGGATCGCTGTCAACTGTATTGACTGTTGTTGAGACAATGGAGACCTCTATGGCAGCGGTCTGTTTTCTCTTCTTCTCTACGCGCGTCGGTGGTATGGTGGTGGTTGATGTTCTGATTTACGTTACAGTCAGTCCGTTTGCACGTTGGGTTTGTATAGTCCGTAGTCTGCTAGACTCATGTCGGTCGTCGACTGTTAGGTCATACTACCCATCATAGCAATAACTATATCTGAGCATTTTGCTTTCTGTTGTGAAACTGACAGCTTTTCATAGAATTCGTGCTTTCCATCATCCTAGTTGCAGTCGGTGGATGCGTAGTTGAAGATTACGATTGATCATCGGTTAGTCGCACGGTTTTTCTTTGTTTTTACAGATTCATTCAGTCGAGAAGTGCAGTTTCTATCCTACTGGGTCTCCGAACACTCTTAAGGTGAATTTTAAAGATTCACAGCACTGACTAAGTGAGGTCAGTCTAATAACCACACTGAGGTCCTGTATACGCGTCCCGAAAACAACATACATCCATAGCTAGAGATTCCAGAGTTTTGATTACCGATGCTTG